TGCTTGTTAACATGGACTCAGAGCACCTTACTATTAAAATCAGGAGGTTTCCAGTCAAAAACTGGATAATCTTCTTCAGTGAACTGGGAAAACTCTCACCATGTCACCCAGTTAGAAGCTTGACTCAGTACCTTCGGGATACAAAGTGCCAAGACACCTTTTCTCAGATGGAGACTTAATAGTGAAAAGACAGTAGAACTGAACCATGCTATGAAAACCAAGACAAAAAAGACACCCACTTAAGAGTCAGCCTGACATTCAGACCTACCGATTTCTGAAGCTGTAGGAGGTTCAATAGCCACCAGCTTGGGCTCAACTCTTAAAAAGATGCCTTCTCCTGTGCTGGTGTTAAGTGCAAAGCCGTAAGGTCTCACCAGTAACGTCACCTGGTAGACTCCAACTGGCAGCCTCTCCATTTGGCAAACTAGTTTGGTTTCATTCAAAGTTATGACGTGGCATGTTGAGCTGTTCACCTCTACCTGGAGTGCTGGCTTCTCCCCAGTGAAGCCAGTTCCTCTGATAACTATTGTAGCCTGGGATCCATCATCTGAAAGAAGAGAAACAGCAAGATGACTAACGAATTTTGGAATAACATCACCGAGATTTCCTTTTAACCAATTGCTAAAGTTATTATCATGCTTAGCGGGAGACTGTGGAAACCACAACACTGAATTGCTCACTATCCCGCATGTTCCTGGATCTGTCCAGCTATTATTTTCTTATTTTTTAAATAAAAACTACCTGAAACCAAGAGCCACCTTGTTCTGTACAACAGAACATTTCTCTCTCCTTTATGACTGTCTTCTTTCCTCCATAATACCAGTTTGCATTGCACAGTTTAAGACCTAAGCTAAACAGAAGGGGTCCATTAGAAAATGCAGTCTCCATAAAAACCAAAAACTTCCTAAAGAATATACATGCACCTATATATAAGGTCATCATCATCAAACCATTTTCTAGTGTGTTTTGCATTTTAATCACCTACGAAGCCCATTACCTGACAAGTACTCCACTTCACTGACTAAGGGTGTCATTTCCTGGCTGAACTGGAAAGAGCACGAACCAGAGCAATTTGCGAGGACATCATTCACCACCACCACCACCTGGAGATAGAGAAGGTTACTTCAGAGCAGAGATGGGAACTAAGGTGATCTCTAGGACTTATGATACATGGCAGATTGCAGTGTTGCAGGTAGCTACACTGCTTCAGCACAGACAGCAGTTTATCCTGCTTTAGTTTCATTACAAATTTCCTCCTTGACTTGGGAACAACTTCATCATGCTTTAAAACACCCTGTAAGACTCTAGCCAGAATGAATCCTAGATTGTATCTCTTCAAGATTTATTTTTTCATCATTTCCTCACAAACTGGGCTGTGACCTTGAGGTCTAACATCAACTCCCCTGTCAGAAAAGTCAACTGGCAATGCAGAAGACCCTCCTCTTCCCCAGGTGTGAAGGAAGGGTGTGCTGAGAGACTGCACCAGAGCTTCAAATAAAACAGATTGTCCCTGGGAAGCCCAAGGGGACCTCAGAGTTTCACAGCGCTCTGCTAAATAGAGACACAATGGTTAGAGGGACAATTTTATATTTGCTGCTTGCAGCAATCCAGAACATAGCTTCAAAAAATGAAATTTGATTTCAGCTGCTGTCCTTATTTTCTCCAATCTGAGGTCATGTCTGTACTACTGGCTGCAGAGGTACCACAGGTGACTTGGGCACTAGGAACAGGGCAGGACCAATATGTAAGGAACAGACCCATCCAAAAAGCAGGGTGAAATATCCCCCATTGCTGCACAGATAGGATTCTAGCACATCCTGCATTACACATTATTGC